AAGAAGGCGGTGTGGAGCGGGATTTTCTTCTCTCTGTGAGCCTCCATCAGCATCCGCACACCGAAGATGGCATCGGTGGTGCCGCAGTTCTTGATGAATCCGGCCTGGTTGACGCTGATGTTGACGATGTCCCGAATGCGCTTATCGAGGACGCGTTCGAAGATCTTCATAGTGTGTGACAGTAACCTGACCGGTCTGTAGTTGGAGCAGTCCGCTGGGCTGCCCTTTCCCTTCCAGATCGGAGCAGTGGTGCTGCGGTACCAGTCGTGTGGCACTATTCCCGTGGAGACGATGTTGTTGAACAGCTCGCACAGCCACAATGCCGAGCCCGGTAGTGCCTTTTTCCAGAAGTCGGCAGGGATGTCGTCTGGTCCTGTTGCCTTACCGTTTTTCATGGCCTTGATGGCGTCGGTGACCTCGCTGGCATGAATGCCTGAGACTGGGCCTTCGACGGGGTCACCTCGCGGGGTTCGTGGGTGTGGGAACTCCTCGGTGGAGATCTTCTCGAAGTATTGCCGCCACCTCTCGGCAGCGTCTCTGGGGTTGACGATCAAATTTCCCCTTTCGTCGTTGATCCCATGAAACTGGTCAATGTCCAGGGTCTTCCTGTGTCTGCTTTTGGCTAGGCGGTAGATCTCATTCTCGCCTTCTCCCATCCCTATCCTATTGTCCCCATTTAATCATACCTATTTTCTGTATTCTTACTCATGTTTATACTTATACCTATTATTTTGTAAGCGATTGACAAACCAAATAAATAAATAAAATAAATGATGACATTTCATTACCACCACCCCAAGACCACTTCCATTAACACTAGCAAACACTAGCACTGATAATGTTATCTAGTTTAAGTAATAAAATTTATGCATTATTTTTAAAAAAAAAAACCATGCTCAGAGAACACCAGGGGTCCCTCATTTCAACACTGAGCTACAAATACTCTCCTTTATTGGTAATTCTGTGTTTGCAGCTTTGGGTTTTCTTTTCTGGTGTGGTAACATCAACCAAACATTCCAATGTCTAGCTACATCATAAACACAATTAATATGCTGAAAGACCCTTAACTCTTTCTCAGTACCATGTTGAGTGCCCTCCAACCATGAGATCACTGTGTCATCAATCATTTTATATTTTCTATCCATATGATTTCATTGGTTAAAATGCAGGAGGGGTTTCCTGTTGCTTTAAGTTGGCATCTTTGCCATTGTCACCAAAGTGATCTTCTGTCTCCAGGATCTTTCTGTATTTGATGCTGCTTGATATAAATCCCTGCTATCTTTCGTTGGGCAACTGATATGACTTTTGTGCCTTGGGTGACCCCACTGGGAATATAAACCCTGGACGTACACTCCTGTTATTCTTCAGCAGGTTGAATGGTTGTGGTAGGAATGGCGTATTAAACAAATAACACGTCTGAAATGGTCTAAAGCAGAGTTCCCCAACTTTCCCGGGTTGGCATCCCAGAGCGGGGGGAGGGAGGAGGAAAGAGGGGATGATTTTGTGGGAGGGATAAGCACATGTGCATGTGCGCACGTACAAGCACCCACAATGTTCACGGCAATGCTTGCACAAGGTGGGACCTTGTCCCCTTGCTCTCCACTTGTGCAGCCCAGTTCTCAATGGCCCATGGCCAGTGGCCCGGGGAGGAGACTCTTGATCTAAAGGCAGCTGTGCAGTAGCCATTTCCTGTGAACAATGGTCTACTATAAATGATAGCTTTTACATGTAAACAACATGCCCTTTGAAAACAGGATGACACAGTCCTTTTTAACAACTCTGGATTCCTGTAAGATAAAACCAAAACCAAATGCTCAGTGCTTTCAGTAAGCAAAAAGGGAGAGATATCTGTGCCGTTCGTATATTAATTTTTCAAACCCAAAAAAGTGCACTGTAAGTTACAGGGTTTTCAATTTATGTTTTAAAAAGTAGAGTTTTTGATATAATTCAGAGAGCTAACATTATATTAATTAGAAATGACTTCCCGTGAATCAATTTAATTCAGGTGTTACCTTTCTCTAAACCATATTGCAGAAGCCCATCATTAGAGCAATTCCATTAAATTATGAGTTTTTGTTACATTCCATCTGAAATATCACTGCAGATAAAAATATTGTAGTGGCGTTTTTGCAATCACCTTTAAACCCATAAGGTATGGCTGGTTATGGCCAAAGGTGAACATAATTTCAGCAAAACAAGCAGATGAAAATCTATTTAAAAAATCCTGCTGAGATCAATTACAGTTTCTCCCAAGTAATGGTGCGTAGGGTTATAGCCCACCTCTTATTAATTTCGCTTGTCAAGCTAAGCATATGCCTAACACTTTCACATGGGAGTTCAGCTTGGATTTTGGCCAGAACAAATATTAATTTGCTTTTATTAATTTTCTAATTTGCCTGAAAGACACCAGTGTGTCTTACCATACATGGGGGAACTCAGAAAAAGAGCCAAGATAGATTTCTGCTCAAAAGATAATGAAGTAAGAAAGCAATAGCTTCTTTGGAGACCAATAAGATGTAAACATTTTACAAAAGAAAAAGATAATACATAAACTATTGTGATGAAGAAATAGTAACACTGCTTTACAAAAAAAAAGAAAGAATCCGTTTAATCTACTGTCTTGTTTAAAAATCTTTAATATATATACTCTTTGTAGACATTCATAATTGGCTCTAGGATTCCCCTTCTGCTTTTCTGCCTTCACCTGTGAAAAAAAGTACAGTGGCAAGCAGACTTGGAACAATTTCCTTTCCCTTCTTTTCTTTTCTTCAGATAGCCAACAAAATCCTTCTTGCTTTGAGATGGGAGATGGTTCTGTCATTCCACATTCAGTGTAGCATGAAGCCGGCAGATTTTTCATTACCCAAACTAGGTAATGTTATCAATGCTAGCATTACCTACAGTAGCGTTGTATGATGTTACCTAGCTTGGATAATAAAACGTCTGCAAGAAAACCAAGTTGAGAGTACACCAAAGACCCCTCAGCTACAAAAACACTAATTCCAGGGGTGGGATGCAAATATTTTTACTACTGATTCTGTGGGAGTGGCTAGGTGGGTGTGGCTAGGTGGGCATGGCGCAGGGGGCCTGCGCTCCCCTTTTTGCCTTCTGGGCCTCAGGGAAGCCTCCTGGACGAAGCAGAAAGGCAGCGAGGGGGATCCTGGCAGAGCTGATCAATGGAACAGTTGATCGTTGGGAGGAAAAAGAAAAATATATCGGCTGAACCAGTAGCTGTTTTTTTTACTATCGGTTCAGCTGAAGTGGGCCAAACCACTACTGACTAATTCCTGTCAAGATGTTTTATGCAAAGATATGAATATAGAAAGAAAATTAAACAAAATATTTGCTTTTAAATTATTATTGCTTTTTTAAAGGTAGTGTGTACATGGTCATGCTAAATCTATGAGCCCTCCGATGTCTGCAAATTGTTTGAAAAGACTGATTAACTAACAAAGTCTTTGACCCAGAATTTATCATCCAGTCTGTTCCAGGGGGGCCAAAATAATTCCGGGCTGGGGTAAAGAAACACTTGTAAGCTCCAGAATACTAAGTAAGTTGATGGATAAGCTGGCAGTGGTTCAGATTGTCAGAGGTATACTGTAACAAGGACAGTATGGGTACATCATCACCTCGTATTACACACCCGGAGAATGGTGTGTAATTAGACAAATGAGCTTGTGTAGCCCCAGTGGTATCATAAATCGTATCTTCCCACATCAAGCTGCATTTTGTAAAAAGCCCAAAGCATCAAACTTGGCTTGTACCTGTACATCATGGCAAGAATCCAATATTTATCCCATTTTGTATTGCAAGGAAATGGAGTCCTTGGGGTTAGAGAGAACAGCTGCTTTAATTACACGATCCTGCTATGTCAAGTTGAAGTTTTCAGTGCCTTGTGCAAAACTCTAGACTTATCCACCAAGGGTTGGTTTCTATCAGGTTTCATTTGTATGATGGATAAATCTAGGAATGAATTATTTAGCAAATTATCTGTTTCAGGTGTAATGACAAAAGAATCTTTTGTCTTTGCTGCATGAAAAAGTATAACGTACATTCTTAATTAATTCAGTTTCTCAACTCTCAGTTGTCTTTTTTCTTTTTCTTTTCTTACGTACCGATGACAGCAGATGGCTTTAGGGGAGAAAAGTTTTAAGCTGCTTCTTATTCCTTAGTTGGAGCTTTCCTATATATCAGGAATTTTTGGTGTTGGGGGATAGTGTATAAAGTTATGGAACTTTGGGGCTACACACACAAAAAGATTGATTATTGTCTTTTCTTATCTGCCTAAAACCAGGCACCTATCCCCATCCATGGTTCTTTTGATCAAAGTGGCTGTTTGTCAGAATCATTTGTCCTGAATAGCCGTGGAGAAACACTCATTTGAATAGGTGCACTTACTGGATGGGAAAAGGAAATTTATTCCCATTTCTCTCAAGTGAGGTTAACAAAGGATGGAGGGGGTAGAGGGAATAATTGCATAAGAAATTAACTTTCCTGTTCATCCACATGAACACAACAGTTGTGACTCAGAAGAGAAGTGGAAAGTGAGACTCAGCAGGGCAGGCAATCCTGTTGTCTGCTGAAAGGAGTCTCTGTGGGCCATCCAACTTTAGCATGCAACACACCTGCTACACACACCTGCTATGCAGACTGAGAGTCCACACTGAAGACAGTCACCCCATAACTGTGTTTTAAGAGTAGGCATCCAGCTGAAAAACACGCCTTCAATGTCATCCAGATACACCTGCAATACATCTCGGATGAGACTCCTGAAATATACAGTAGTTAAAGCAATGCAGATTTTTGGAGCCAAGATTGCACTGTGAGGGCCTGTTAAAAATCTGCTTCATTTGTTCATGCATTCTGTGAATTCTGTATGGCAAATAAGAGACTAGCTTGTTTTCATTACTTTGACCTGAGATAATTGCAAGATTTAGCATAACGCGTGAAGTTCCACAGTTACTGATTATCTAATGACCGACTCATTTGTTCTTTAACAGATGCCATGCTTTTGGTAGCAGACAGACTAGAGGGACCATTCAACATTGAGTCAGTTATGGATCCCATTGATGTCAAAATTTCTGAAGCCATTATGAACATGCAAGAAAACAGTGTGCATGTGACTGGAAAGGTATCAATTTTTGCTATTAAATGTTTGGAATAGATAGCATACTAGAAGGCTATATTGCATTCATGTCTGTTGAGCAATTCTTTAGAATAGAATAGAATAGAATAGAATAGAATAGAATAGAATAGAATAGAATAGAATAGAATAGAATAGAATAGAATAGAATAGAATTCTTTATTGGCCAAGTGTGGTTGGATGCACAATGAATTTGTCTTGGTGCAAACGCTCTCAGTGTACATAAAAGAAAAGATACATTCATCAAGAGTCAAAAATCATAAGGTACAACACTTAATAATGGTCATAGGATACAATAAGCATAGGGTACAATAAGGGTACAATAACAATCACGGATTAGGATTCTTCTCCATGACATCCCTGCAGATGTTTGAAAATCAGGTCTTTTCCATGTTAAATATTATTGCCTGTTTTTCATGGGTGTTTTTTCCCCCTATCTAGCCATATCAACTTGATTTTTCTCCTTTGAATACATTCCAATTTGTCAATGTCCTTCCTAAAAATGCAATGCCTTGGGCAGAATGTTCAATGGAAGCAAAAGGAAAGGATGCTAGAAAAGTTTGTTTACTTGTTCGTTTGTGCCTTTGAGTCAGCTTTTGATTCTCAGCGACTGCCTGGGTTATTCCTACGGCGTGCTTGGCAAGGCATTTTTGGAAGTGGTTTGCCCTTACCTTCTTTCTAGAGCTGAGGGAGAGATACTGGCCCAAAGTCATGCCTAAGGCTGGACTAGAATTCACTGTCTCCTGGTTTGTAGCCAGGAGTCTTAACCACTACACTCTTTTTTAGGGGCAGGGGGAGATGTCACAGTAAAAATATAAATGGCCATAGAGGTCAGAATCTCCAGGCATGTAGGAAGGAGCCCAACTGAAGCCTCCCTCTATGAAACATGGAAAGTTTGCAGAGAAGTTTGTTTTTTGATTTCCTGTGGAAGACATCATTTTGTTGGCAGATCATCTTGATCAAACTTCACCCTGCCTTAGCAATAGGATGAAGGCTCCATAGTGAAAATATATCCTCTGTAAGAGCTGTGGTGGAACAGTGGTTAGAATGCAGTACTGCAGACTAATTCTGCTGACTGCCAGCAGTTCGATCCTAACCGACTCAAGGTTGACTCAGCCTTCCATCCTTCCAAGGCTGGTAAAATGAGGACCCAGATTGTTGTGGGCAAAAACTGCTTTGAGAGGGCTGTATGAAGTGGTATATAAGTCTAAGTGTTATTGCTATTGCTACACACACACACAAAAGTATGTTGTTTAGAAGCCATCTTTGGATCTTCTGACCTGGGATTTTTATCCATAAGTTTCCACCTAGTTCTTCTCTAAGCTTATTAATATTGGCTTTCATGAAAACTAGTATGTACAGCTGGGCTTCAGTTCCATTTCTTATAGAATCTTGAAGTTCAAGATGACCTGGTCACTTTGTCGCAAAGTTCCCACTGCTTCAGCCAACATTTTTTCCATTGGTATCAGTTGCTCTAGGAGAACACATACCTTATCTCTTCGTTTACTCACAAATTACTTTCTTGGCAATACTTCTGACAAGCTCATGACAGGGTCACTCATATATGCCAGTGTAACAGGCTTTTAATATCTAACATGATTAAAAAATGGGATAAATTATTCATCTAGATCCATACCCCTCTAGCCCTACCTGATCTCAGTACAGACAACTGTAGTTTGTGATATGTTGGTAGAGTCTCTGATTTAATAGTAAGTAGCACCCATTAGCTTAATTTCCTCCTAATTTCAAGTCTTCTAGACTCACCTAACTGTATCATAAGTTATGCTGAAGTTTTATGACAAATCATAATCCTCATTCATTCATAATCATCCATATGTGCTTCCTTCATCTAAGGAATATTAATATTCAGTTGCAACACATTGGAGTAGAAAGATTTCTCCACTATTCTAGTCAAACATAAGCCTGTTATTGCCCCTATTTTATTAAAATTCCATAGTTTTTCGCAGTTTTGTGATTCTCAGGACATTTATTATTATTATTTTCCTTTATTAATGTAAATGCCTTTTCTGACCAAACATTAGTAGGGTTTAATACCAATGTCTAGTTTTATCCTGAATATCTCTTAGTTCAGTTCTGTTCTATTTAGAAACCCAAGTGTGTTCATTTTTTATTTTTTTTTAAAAAGGCCTCAACCACTGAGTTTGCCAGGGAAATGTATTCCCATACAGTATTATAAAATGGGTTATGAAATAGGCAGTTGTTGCTAAAAAAAAGATCACATTTCCATGGAAAATGGGGCAGTTGTGAAGTTCCAGAACAAAAAGTCTGACCAGTGAGACTAGAACAGGTGCACAGTCTTAAAAGAACAAAGCCTAAGAATTTCAGGAGATTGCAGTATGGTCTTTCAAACAGCCCTTGCTCAGGTAATTGACGCTGAAAACAGCAATTGGCAAACTGCAAAGCCATTGTTCAGCCTATGTGTGGATTGAAAACCCAAACCAGAACCATTTCAAACATGGCATTCATGAACCAAGGCCTATCTGACACAGCAGATAGGAGCTTTCAGTTCAGATTTAGTTAATGCTAACCTGAAATTTGTGAAATTACAGTATATTGGTTGATAGATGACCTTTAGCCAATAAATCCACTGAAGTTTTGCATAGCAAGTAAAGATAAATTCTATTGATTCAAACATTTCAAGCTTTGTAACATATGCTAGGTTTTTATCCAGACAGAAAATGAATGATTGGAATTCTTGTTTCAGTGGTTCTTTTGTGTGTAACTGAACATTGTTCTTGTAGGTTTTCCAAGGGTGTGGACAGCCTAAACCAGCTCCAGGCGTAAGATCTTCTCGATCCATTCCTGAAAACTTCAACGCTCGCTTTCGACCTTATAACCCGGAAGAAAGACCAACAACTGCTGCTGGCACCAGCTTGGACAGGCTGGTAAGTACCTTCTGTGATCATGTACAAGTAGGCCTCGACTTACAGCAATTCACTTAAAACCCATTTGAAGTTACAGAGGCACAGAAGAAAAGCGACTTATGATCATTTTTCACACCTATGACCATTGCAGCATCCCTATAGGGGTGATTTACATTCAGATGCTTGACAACGAACTCACATTTATGACGGTTGCAACGAACTCACATTTATGACGGTCGTGTGATCACTTTTTTGCAACTTTCCAACAAGCAAAGTCAATGGGGAAGCCACCCATGTTCTGACCCAAACCTTGTTCCAAGGAAACAAGCACCAGATGGAGGTAACAGCAAAACCTTTTAATGATTCTTTACAAATTCCGTCCCTTCCCGGTTAAAAGGCTGTTTCAAACTAATTGTCTCTGATAAGAAGGAGCCTTGCCAAGGTTGTGCAAGGCTGCTAAGAACACTAGATAAAGTTGCCAAGAAATATTTCAAACACAAAGAGTCTCCAAACACAAAATAAGAGAGTCCAAACATCCACAAGGCTTGAGTGCAAAAACTTCTTTGCTTCCTGCAAAGAACTCCGGTTTCTCAGCTGGCTTTTATCTCTGAAGGGAGGGGCCATTACCTTGCAGCCTTATTCCCAAGTTGCCCATGCTGCTGCAGCTGCTCTTCCCTTTGAGCAGCCCTGCGTGCATGCGCACTGGGCACAGGCTCCTTGAGGACCTCTTCATCACTGCTTCCAGCCTCCACAATCTCCGAAGGCAGCATTCCACTCCCTGATAGTTCTGGCCCCACCCCAGCATCACCCGCAGGCCCCTCATCTGAGTCCTCGCTCTCCGAGACCTCAGCCATTTTGCACCTGCTGCCGGCGAACCACAACAACTTAACAGCTGTGTGACTAATTTAACAACGGCAGTGATTCATTTAACAAATGTAGCAAGAAAGGTGGTCAAATGGGTAAGACTCCCTTAACTAATTTCTCACTTAGCAACATCAATGTTGGGCTCAGTTGTGGTCATAAATCGAGGACTACCTGGTTTAATCTCTTTCTGGCTAAAATTGAAAGACCGTTGTTTAGAAAGTTGATCCTCTCCCCCGATTATGTAAAGTTGCCAAAGAAAAGACATGGCACTGCAATGACGATTGTTTTCCTCTCAAAAATAGAGCCGTATATTGAGACAATATGTTGGGATACAAGAAAAGAAACAAAATGTAAGTCACGATGATATTTTTCTGCAAACCATTAGAACAGTGGTGGCTAACTTTTTTGGGCTCCTGTGCCAAAAATTGTGTGGGTACATGCCAGCACCCAGAAGGCAATGTGCCTTCTGCGCATGTGCATGCAATCCTGCCGTCGACCCCCCCTTACCTGCATTGCGCCTCACAGCTGATTTTCGGTTGGTTTGAGGCCTTTTTCGGCCTCCCAGAGGCTTAAAAGAAGCCTCTGAAGGCCGAATAGGCCCATTTCGTCACTTCCGGTATTACAGGAAGTGACGAAACGGGCCTATTCGGCCTGCAGAGGCTTTTTTCAAGCCTCTGGGAGGCTGAAAAAGGCCTCAAACCAGCCCAAAATCAGCTGTGAGGCAAATGTATGCGCAGTGAGGTAAGTTTGCCTGCGGCTCGCATGCCAGCACAAATGGCTCTGCGCGCCACTTGTGGCACACGTGCCATAGGTTCGCCATCATGGCGTTAGAAAAACATAAGAGCCTCTCACATGGCCCTTTAAGCATTTTCCATGGGAAAAGCAAGCCTTTCTCTTCTTTTACTTCATCATCACTGGCTCCCGATGAAGAGCCCTGGAATAAAAGGCCCAATCTCTTCTATAGGTTGCAAAACCAACTTCAACTATTTAGTTTTGCAAGTCTTCCGAATATAGGGAAGTTTCCCTGAATGCATGCATCGGTTAAGACAGATTCCCTAAAAAACTCTTTGTCATGTTCCAAGCATCCAGCACCAAGCAACTGCAAGCAACACAGTTTTGTCTGAAGCATTTTATCCTGGAAAGCATAAAAACCTGGCAATGAGTGACATACAACCAAAGTCAGCGCTAACCACGGCCTCTCTTCCGCACCTTAAATTCCCTTGCGTGCTCCTACCCCATCTCCTCGGCTTCCGGACACCACAAACAGCCTGGAATCTTCAGCCGGGTCTAGCTCTCCATGCCGTAGCTGATCAGTACTTCATTTCCCAACTGATCAGCTCTGACACCCAGCTGCTTATCAACACGTGGAGCAGCATTGCAGCCTCCACCTAGTGCGTGATGCCCAGCTACTAGTCGGTCGAACTATTCACCGCCTCCCAGCTGATCAGCACAGCAATTGCATCAGTCCCAATCATGCCCCTGCAGCCTCTCCTCCCTGAATGGCAACCCCGAGACGGCTCGCTGGAGCTTGCGGTTTCGGGGTTTGACACTCTTTTCAGCTCTATTTCCTCTTACATGAATCAGTTTAATGCATTTTCTTCACGAAAACTCTTAATGCAAATTTTTGATGTCAGTGCTCGGTTTTTCTTCTTCGCACCAATATATCGTTTGCGTGCAATGTTCAGACACATATTTTTTTTCCACAATCATTTACAAATAGGCAGGAGAGTTGTGAGAAGCTTCGACTTGTTTCACAGCCTTTGGGTAGACCAGGCTGTCCCTTGGCTCCAAATCCCTTCCACAAAGTCCATGTCAGGTTTCTTCTTCATCCCTCTTTTGGCCTTTTTATGAATTGAGGATCAATCAGAGATCAAAAGGCCAAGTGGGGCAGGTGGCAGACTTAAAGCAGTGTAGTTGCAAAATATGCATTTGCATATTTATCCTTAAAATATAAGAGTAATATGTTACTTTTAAGAGAAAACTATGAGAAGAACAATTTCACAGATTTTTTTTTCCTTTTGGGAGAAAATTGCACATACCAACTACTGAAATAAGTAATCCCCTGCTTGTCACATTAATGTGCAATCACTTCAATTCCCAATTAATTTTACAATAGATTCGTTTTTAGTGCTCTGCTTATCATTAAATAAGCACTTATTGTTGTTAAGTGTCCATATGCATAATGCATCTTTCTCTTATAAAGTTTAATTAAGGAATTCACATTTCATACAAGTTAAGACAAGAAACCTTGTTTTATAACTACATTAAACATATGCAATGGTGCTTTGGCAATCAGTCTTCAACTGTGGTTTATTCCTTTTTTTTTTACCCCTTAGAAAAAAATACCACTACCACCATCCTTTTTTTGTTGTTGTTGTTGGCTTTTTAAGGCCTTTATTTTTAACACTAACTTAACTAATAACTGTGAGAGGGATCTTGGAGTCATAGGGGATAACTACTTAAATATGAACCAGCAGTGTGATGCAACGGCCAAGAAAGCTAACACGATCCTAGGCTGCATTAACAGAGGGATAGAATCAAGATCGCATGAAGTGTTGATACCCCTTTATAAGGCCTTGATAAGGTAAAGGGGATGCAGTAGCTCAGTGGCTAAGACGCTGAGCTTGTTGATCAGAAAGGTCGGTTGTTCAACGGTTCGAATCCCTAGCACTGCGTAACAGAGTGAGCTCCCATTACTTATCCCAACTTCTGCCAACCTAGCAGTTCAAAAGCATGTAAAAATGCAAGTAGAAAAATAGGGAGCACTTTGGTGGGAAGGTAACAGCATTCTGTGAGCCTTTGGTGTTTAGTCATGCCGGCCACATGACCACGGAGACATCTTCGGACAGCGCTCGCTCTTCGGCTTTGTAATGGAGATGAGCACTGCCCCCTAGAGCCGACTAGCACGTATGTGTGAGGGGAACCTTTACCTAATGTCACACTTGGAATACTGCACTCAGTTTTGGCTACCACAATGTAAAAAAGATGTTGAGATTCTAGAAAGAGTGCAGAGAAGAGCAACAAAGATGATTAGGGGACTGGAGGCTAAAACATATAAAGAATGGCTGCTGGAGTAGGGTATGTCTAGTTTAATGAAAAGAAGGACCGGGATGATATGATAGCAGTGTTACAATATCTCAGGGGCTGCCACAAAGAAGAGGGAGTCAAGCTATTCTCCAAAGCACCTGAGGGCAGGACAAGAAGCAACAGGTGGAAACTAATCAAGGAGAGGGGCAACCTGGAATTAAGAAGAAATTTCCTGACAGTTAGAACAATTAATCAGTGGAACAACTTGACTGCAGAAGTTGTGAATGCTCCAACTCTGGAAGTTTTAAAGAGGAGATTGGACAACCATTTGTCTGAAATAGTATAGGGTTTCTTGCCTAAGCAGGGGGTTGGACTTGAAGACCTCCAAGGTCCCTTCCAATTCTGTTATTCTATTTTATTCAGAGGTGGTATTCAGCAGGTTCTGACCAGTTCTGGAGAACCGGTAGCAGAAATTTTGAGTAGTTTGGAGAACCGGCAAATACCACCTATGACTGGCCCCCATCTATTCTCTGCCCCCATCTATTCTCTCCCCCCATCTGTTCTCTGCCTCCTGAGTCCCAGCTGATCGGCTGGGTCTTCTTTTGTTGCTCCACACATGAGAACAGAGCTGGAAAGCAGGTTAGTGGGGTGGGGTGGGAATGGAGATTTTACAGTATCCTTCCACTGCTATGCCCACCAAGCCATGCCCACCAAGCCACACCCACATAACCGGTAGTAAAAAATTTGAATCCCACCACATGCTGGCCATGACCACACCCATTTTAGCATCACATGATGCTGCTGTGACAACATGAATTTGACACTCCTGTTCTAGATGCTCAGTAAAGAGTAAAGAGTTTCAAAGATGCATTTTTAGTGCATGTGAGAGGTAGCATTGCTTTCATACTTATGCAGAGTGAATTTTGCCTTCTTAGAACCACTGTACAGAACCACAGAATCAGAAGGTATCTCAGGCCATCTTGTACAATTCATGCTCAGTGAAGAATCTCATACAATATTTTGAACAGGTGGCTATCCAATCTGTCTTTGAAGAGCTGAAATGGAAACATGAAACAGCTTATTCTTTCTTTCACCCATTGGTAGCAATTACCATCAGAAAATTTATCCTAATATCTATCCTAAATCTGTTTTTTGCTTGTGGTTTCAACCCACTGGTTCAGCTCTTTTTCTTCAAAATGATGGAGAATGACTCCAGAAAAGTTGCAGCATTAAATTAAAAAGAAAATCTCCTTTGGGGAAAAGCAAAAAAAAACAAAAACCCAAAATATATCTTTTACCAATATAAAAATACATTCCCAATATGCTATCTGACCTTGCTAGACTCAAAACTAAGCTATAAAATAGAATTTGAACCTTTCATGTCTCTACCGGGGACATTTGCAAGAGTACTGCTAAATTGTTCTGCAGCAAAGAGAGTTTTTTTTTAAAAAAAAATGCATTTTACAACATTGAAAAAGGCCAGCTCAAATGGACTAACTTGAGTACATTCTTTGGAGAATTCAGTCAACAAGAGTAAATTGAACTATCATAAATTCTTATGGTGGGCCAACATTACGGGATGGGGTAATTGTGCAGAATTGGGCTATAAGCATTTTATATTGAGCAGGGGCTGAGAGACAGGGGAAGAAATATTTTAGAGCAATAGCAGTGTGTGGCAGCAGCCAAAACAGCTAATACAACCCTTGGTTGTATAAACAGAGGCATAGAGTCAAAAATCACATATTAGTATCGCTTTACAGAGCCATACTAAGACCACACCTGGAATACTGCATCCAGTTTTGCTCACCATTCTACAAAAAGATGTTGAGACTTCAGGAAAAAGTGCAGAGAAGAGCAACTAAAATGACTAAAGGCCTGGAGACTAAAACATATGAAGAACAGTTGCAGGATTTGGGTTTGGCAAGTCTAGAGAAAAGAAGGACTGGGGTGATGCGATAGCAGTATTTCAGTATTTGAGAGGCTGCTACAAAGTGGAGTCAACTTATTTTTCCAAACCACCACAGGGCAGGACAAGAAAGAATGGATGGAAACCTATCAATGAAAGAAGCAACCTGGAATTCAGGAGAACAGATTACCTTCAGAAGTTGTAGGTACTTCATCACTGGAGGTTTTTCAGAAGAAACTGGATAGCCACTTGTCTGAAATGGTATAGGGTCTCTTGCTTGTGGGGGGCTTGGACTAGAAGACCTCCGATGTCCCTTTCAGCTCTATTCCGATTGAACTCAGGATCTCAGCAGTTGTAGAGACTCATCCTTGGATCTTTAGCCCTCAGCAAATCTCACTGCAAGACCATCTATTCTGTGTGAATAGCCATTAAATTTTAGGGGGACATTTATTTCTCTCTGACTCTACCAGATTCATTTTTGCATTTCTGCAGAAACAGCAGACAAATGAATAGTCTTCCCAATTAGCTGCATTTTTTTTTCATTTTTCTTTGGGATAGACTAGGAGAGGCAAGCTAAAGCTTGCTGTTCATGTTTACTTATGAATGTATTGATCATTTTTCTGTGCAAATAAAACATCTTCAAAGAGACAAGTAAAGACCTAATAAATCAGTTGGAACCTGTAATAAAAACACACCAATAAAGAAATCAATACACACAGAGATTTTTAAAAATGCACAGTAGGAATAATACTTATGCAATCCTACTTCATAAATCAACATCTTTAGCATCTTTCAGCCTGGTACTATTTCATGTTGACTTGGGATGTCTTGGGAGCTTTAAACCAACCTTTTTGGAGGACACCGGGTTGGGGAAACTGCTATCAATCATGAATGTTTGAGATCGAACTAAAATGGTTTTTAAAAAGTTATTTAGCTGATCACCTCAGACAGAGATTTTCAGATTGTTGAGGTCAGGTCAGGAAAAAAAAATACCATTCACCTGTAGATGACCTACACTGAACCTTCTGAGATTGGAAGGACCAGGCCTGTGACAAAGATAAAGCACAAATAAAATGTGTCAATTTCAGCAATTGGAGAGACAGAAATGGAGCGTTTTCCCTACTCTTTCCAGATTTTAAAATTCTTTAAGATCTTAAATTGGTTGTGAAATAAGTGAGAAAGGCAACAGTTGTAAAGTTAGCTCTTAAAAAAGCCCCTTGCCTTTGTCAGTTGTTAAGCTGCACATTCTCTTCGAGATACTATGCACCGGAGACAAATTCCTTGTGTGTCTAATCACACTGGCCCAGTAAAGAATTCTATTCTATTCTAATCAAGCTTTCAGCCAGATTAGAAATCTTCGTATTTGGACCCACCCGCTTTCCTCAAAAAAATAAGATTTCAGTCTGACAGAAAGCAATCTATCAGAAATGTTAGGCCCAACAATGAGCAATAAGGTAGGGCAGGGCAGGAAAGAGATTTAATTTGTTGTGGTGATTAGGCAAACTGGATGTTAAATTTACATCCGCTTTGCCAAACCAGTAGTTGAACCAACAGGCTGGCCCCGCCCTCCCCTCCCATTCCAGGAGTCTCCACGCAGCCTATTTTGGATGCAGATAAGTGCAACGTCCGTGCAGAGACTCTGGGAGGGTGAAAAACGGCTCTCCCGGAAGTTCTGGAAGTCCAGAAACAGGCCTGTTTCTGGCTTCTGGGGGGCCTCTGGAGCCCGGGGAGGCCATTTTCACCCTCTGAGAGGCCTTGAGGGAAGCCTCTGGACTCTGGGGAAAGGGAAAAACGGCCCTCCCGGAAGTTTCGGTAGGCCACGCCCACCATGACCACGCCCACCTAGCAACCGGTCAGCGAACCGGTTGCTGGGAGTTTTGAATCCCACCCCCGATGGTTAGATACCAATCTAGAAGCTGAGACCATGAGTTGCAGTCCCAACATAGGCACAAAGCCAGATGGGTGACCTTCGGCCCTAGGAAAGAGGAAAGACCTTGCCGCTTTTGAAAGCCTTGCCAAGTAGACTGCTGGGATTAATCAAGGATGAGTCAAGGCTGCCTCAAAGGTACATACACACACACACACAAACACATACAAAGGCAGGAAAACTGAAGTTGTGGGTTTTTTTCCGCTGTATAGATAAACAGATATGACATCAGGACTACTTTTTTAAAAACTTTTTTTCTTTCTTCCTATCACTCTGAACCTTTCCAGGTTATGCCTTTGAATGCCCTGCTTTGTGGTTAGAATCATAGGGCTGAAAGAGACCTTGGAGGTCTTGCTCATGGTGTAAAACTTGTAAGGTTTGGACATACAAAAATGCACATGGAGAGGTGATGAAGGACATAGTTGTTGTCCCCACCCTTTCACCCAATCAAATGAATGGATGCATACATGGTGGGATTCAATTTTTTTTACTACCGGTTCTGTGGGCGTGGCCAGGTGGACATGTGACGGGGTGGGCATGGCTATGTGATGGTTTTTTCCTTTCGTAGCACCCCCTCTCGTGCCTCATTTTTTGCCTACTGGGCCTCAGGGAAGTCTCCTGGCAAAGTAAGTACAACAGCGGGGGAGGGGATCAGCTGTGCCGCATGATTGAGATGAGCAAGAAAGCAAGAAATCCAATGATTTCCTGCTTCCTAGCCAATCTAAATTGTGCGGCACAGCTGATTGTCAGAAATATCAGTTTGGCTGAATCGGTAGCATTTTTTTTTTAACTACCGGTTCGACTGAACCGATAGAATACCACCACTGGATGCATGGAACCATGTATACCTACTCTCCCTTATGATATTGCATAGTTTCCCTAGAGCAGGGTTGCCAAACTGGCGGCCCACAGGCCGGGTGCATCATGTGCAGGCCACGCCCACCTCAGCTCCGCAAAGGGGGAAAACGTCACGGTACATCACATGACAGCAACCTGACGGTTTTGTGTGGTGTATAAAATTAGTATGGGAAGCAAAATATTCAGAGAAATTTTCAGTCTTTTTTTTTTTAATGCCTATTTATGGCAGAAGAGCCTTGGAACAATGCAGTAGGATCAGACTTACGGAACCAAGTAGGAGCAATGAATTGGCAAAGATACGGTTAGTAATGCTGGCAATTATAATACGATAAACAGATTTTGCATTCAATGGTTTTCGAAAGGGAAGTAGAGAAAAAAATAGGAAAACATGCACTTAAAATTCTTTTAAAGAGTTTAGCGTAATACGGAAGGCTGACTGCATATGTGTATATTTTCCATCATCACAGCATGCATAATTAAACTCCATTCACAGTACAGGTAGTCCTCAATTCAGAGCCACAATTGAGGCCAACATTTCTGTTCCTAAGTGAGACATTTGTTAAGTGAGTTTTGTCCCACTTTACGACCTTTCTTGCGACGGTGGTTAAAGTGAGTACTGCCTTAAGAAAATTCAAAACATTCTCAAAGATCCATCTCACCCTAGGAACCCTTTTTTTGAACTATTACCATCTGGCAGACGGTACAGGATAATAAAAACAAGGACAAGTAGGATGAAAAACAGCTTCTATCCCAGGGCAGTAGCTCTTTTGAATTCTGCTGTATAGTGCAGTGTTGGTGAGGTGTCAGGGGTTTTCGGTTCAATGTGTGGAGGGTGAAGGATGTGTGTTTGTGTTTATTTTCATGTTCATGGCCATGATGTACACTGAAGATGGTGTTTGGTTTCATTGTACGAGGTGCAATGACAATAAAGTAAACTAAAGTAAAGTTGTCAAGTTAGTAACACGGTTGTGGAATGAATCTGGCTTCCCCACTGACGTGGCCAAGGGGGAAATCACGTGACTCCAGGACAGTACAACAATCATAAATACGAATCAGTTGCTGAGCGCCTGAATTTTGATCCCATGACCACGGTGATGCTGCAATGGTCGTAAGCATGAAAAAAATTGTCATAAATCACTGTTTTTCAGTGCCATTCCCATTTCAAACAGTTGCTACCTGAACTGTTGTAAGCCAAGGACTGCTTGTAGTTTGCTGATACTGATACATTATCCTCTTTGCGGCTCTCTGCTTCTTGCAACCTAACACTTTGTCTTGATTTTTCCCTCTTTTTTTCTTTTCTCTCCTGCTTCCTAGAGGACTATCTGGAAGACAATGCAACATGGTGTAAGCTCTGGTATTCTTATTCTTGATTTTCATACCCATTAACCTATTGCTGATTTTGCTGACAAATGACATCTAATGTTATCCACGTAGCAATCTTTTTTTTTCCCCTCCTCCTTGCAAAATAATCTGATTTATAGAGTGCTTTTGCAAACTAATACTTAGGTTGAGCCCTTCTCATTCTTATTACGCTCTTTATTTAGATATGCTGAGAGTTGGTCATATAATTATTTGAATTTGAATTGGCATCCTTCAGTCTCAAGAGACTATGGTATCGTGCTGTGAAACCGGTAACTGCCACTTCATGTGTTGTTTCAATGCTGTATGCAAAGCTGGAGTGTCCTCTCCAGAGCATGAGGACTGGGTAATTTAATATGTAGGATAAACTGTTACCCAAGCAACAGATTCCTCCCTCTCCATATCGCTGAAATAGTCTAATGGAACGGCAGAGCCGATACAATTAGTTCCAGGGGCATCGCAGGAGTTACCAGAACGTGATTGTACACAGTCACAAACTGTTTCCGGGACTCCGGCTCTGGATTTTGCCTCGAGGTTGACTCCTGAAGCCTTTTCCAATAATAGATATAGCCACCAGGCAGCGGAGGTTTGAAATCAGAGTTTCCCTTCTCCTAGAAGATGGTTCTACCGTTTTATCTGCCGTTGGGGCATAAAGCCCTCTTCTGCCTTCAAAACTGTTGGCCATCTTCTCCTGTAATCCTGGAAAAAGGCCCTTAAGAGGTGTTATCACCAGGCCAGCTGGACCAAGGTTTTTTAAGGAGGTATTACTCCTCTGGCACTCCTCCTCACTTCAGGACGCCCAGCTCAGCTCCATTTGCAGTGTCCATTATCTTCCAACTAATTATTATGGTTATAATTATACAGATGTTTAGATTGGATTGGGCTGGGCATTTTTATCCAACTATCAAGTCTCAATGGTCCGAGCTGCGGATCTAAACCGGCATTAAGACGCCATGCATTTTGGGGCTTACTGGATTTAATGAGCCAGATTCTGGCACACAATAAATTCCAAAACCAAAACAGGATGTAAAGTCAGTGCTGGGACCTTCTGCCTCCCGGCATATTTCAACTGGTCAAGCCACGCCCCTCCACTGCCACAGTCCTCGCTCATTCTCTCAGCTGTTCATCGGCCAGGCCGATTAGACGCCATTCGGCTGATCTATGGCCCTGACAAACAGCTGCTCTTCGGCTCGCTTCCTGCTGATCAGATGCTCATTGCTGCCACCTCGAATCCCGGCAGGCTGTTGGTCTTGCGGTGCCCTGCCTCCCCATCGAACAGCTGCTCCTCGGCTCACTCCTTGGAATAGATGCTCACTGCTGCAGCCTCTGGACTGCCACCATCCATCACCAGTGCAGGGGTTCCTTCCCCCCCCCCCCCCCCAGATATGGCAAACCCCAGGTTTGGGGTTTGACAGGCAGCTCCCCTCTACCAAGGCCACATCCCAAACCCGGGATTTACCATCAAGTCCTTCCCAAGGACCTGGGATAGAGAGTTGTTGTTCTTTGAATGGCATCATCTCAGCAAACCTTTTATGTTTATACACAACATGTGAAATTACAGGTGCCAGTTTTTTAACTAGTGTTGGCTTTCATGTGCATCAAGTTGTTCCCAAGAACCTGAGGGGGGGGGCATGATGTATCGGTGTGGTGTATGGATGGATTCCCATCTGTCAATTGCAAAAGGCCACACCACCTTTTGCAATTGACAGATGGTAATTTTCGCCAATGTGTGGATTTTCTACGTTTATATACTGCTCCTGCTGTTCTTAAGGTACAATTATGAAAAAGTGGCAGTCTTGACCATGTCTAGGCAATGAAAAAAAAAACCATCTCACCGAAAGTATCCACAATCTGAAATGTAGAAGCAGAGGAAAATTAGATGTGTTTACAGCTATTGTATTGTGCTGGCCAAGTGCTCTTTACAAACTGGCCAAATCAAGGGATCGTTTGCAGGAACACCCACGGTGTAGCAGATTTACTGGTAGATGTAATACATGGGTGAAACATGCAGCATGGCAGCCTTCCATATAACTGATGGTGGCTTGCTGGGATGAACTAAATGAACCTCAGAAGGCATATGGCAGGCAGGCAGGCAGGGATTTATAAGCAAACAAGGCCCTCCTCAAAATATGTAGTTCTGCTATCTTGACCTTTTAAACAACAGAGATCATGATATAATCCTGGGATATTTCAGTTTCCCATGGTGCTAAATGTGAGCCCACAATCTAAGATGTTTTGATATGGGACCCAGTATGCTAATAACCCCTGGCACCACCACAGCTGGTTTAACGACATAATCTTTCAACTTCAACTTTTGGATTTTGATCATTAGTGGTCTTCTCTAATTTTTTGTCTTCTAATCTATTCTATTATCCCCTGGTATCTCCACACCACACTTTCTTTTGTTCAACCACAGTTAAATCTGGTGTGTTATGAGCCAAGACTTCATCCGTTTGAATTTGGGGAGACCCACAATATTTAATGATTTACCATTTGTATTATTACTATTATTTCCAAGTCATAATATTATAGTAGTTAAGCTGTTGGAGAAAGATCTTGATTCCAGTCCTGTCCCATTGGCTACAGAATTTCCCTTGAGAACACTGGCTCTTTCTCAGTCTGATTTACCTCACACAGTTGGTTGATCGATCAGATGTCTTATTGATCAAACTCTAGAGGCAAGATGGGAGATAAACCTTTGCATTTTGGTAAAAGAACCAAGTAAGGTCATAAGAACGTGCAGCTGGCAGCTTCTTTGATGGGTAAATTCTTTCAGGAACTTTTTGTTATTTATTTATTTTATTATATATTAAATTGAATGATTAATTTCCCACATTACCACCACAGCTGCAGCACAGAATATTAGTCGACTCCCAGAACACAACTTGAAGACACAGAATTAGGCAAAAAGAAAAGAAGAAACGTGAAACAGTGCTTGGATTATTTTTAAGGCTTCCTGGAAAGTGTTTGACTGGTCTCTGTCAAAAACAGAATTTTCTATTTCATCTCTTTTCTACTGTTCCTTTATTTTTGATTTTAGTTTGTTTTATCTGTTAGTATTTAATTTTTTTTAATAATATTTAAAAAAAGAAATAAGATCTTGGAGTTGGTTTGAGGAAATTTGCAAAAATACTTGACTCAAGGGACTCATGAACATAGAAAGAAAATTATTCTAGATCTGAATGTGTAATTATAACTTGAGGTTCTTCAATTCAAAACAAATTACCCTTGTTAAATTCTACCAGATGCTAGCTGAGGATCTTGGTAAAAAAAGGGCTGAATAGGATGAATATATGCTTTCTCCAACTGCAAAATAATTTCTAGAACAAAGTAGCTATGGCGTATTTTTTAAATTGACCATTAGCACATCCAGTATTTTCAAATTCTGGTACTTAATAATATGCCAAATAAGAAATGTACTGTGAGTGCCGCAAAGCTTATTTAAAACCAGGCTTTCAGTTTCCAAATTTAAATTTTGAAAGTGGAGAAAGATTTGATGTGTAATTCATTCCTTAGCAGAAGTAACCTATTTCAACAAATAAATAATAAATATACTACAATTAGTTTCCCATAGAATGCCTGGCAAAAACAATAGCAAGGCAATTTATATGTTGGACAGCACATTTTTAATTTCACTGATAATTTATAATAAAATATATATTTATATATCTATTAGTACAAAGTATTCCAGAAAAGACATGATCTGACCATTTAAAAGCATGGAAATACAGATATCACTTCACACCATTAGCACATGCATTTTAAAAAAGAAAAGTCAGAAACCAAACATAAAAAGTGTTTCTTTTTTAAAATAAAACCTCTAAAGAACCTCTAAAATGAAAGGGGAGAATCAAGGTTCACACTGAAGACTTTGTATGGTTAGTAGGTTTCTTCCCACTGCTTGGTAGATTCAGTTAGATTGGCATTGCTTAGTCAGATTCAAAAATTCCTTCGTTCATCTAATACTTCTTGCATTTTTGTTAATTCTAGAATAGTTTTGTCTCTCAACTCCCCATTTGCTTTCGGTAGGAGAAAGTAAAATTAACGTAGAGGGACACAAAGCTATGAAGATTCCCTAGAGTGGCAAGATTGATAAACCACTTTACCCCTTGGCTTAACTACTCTCTAGGAGATTCTATCTGACATATAGTTGTTGCATTTTGGAGAATGATGAAAACATATGTTTATGTGTTTTTGTGTGCTTCTTATATATGAAAAGCTATTTCCCATGACTGCCTCTCTACCACTTTTTCCTGGCTACTGTTTTCCCTGTGTTATCAAGGGTATTCAAATTGAATCTCTTCCTCCTGTAGCTTGATCCTTGCCCAGGAAAATATAACATGTCATCTGGCTAGATTTATACAGCCAGATGACTTTCATTAGCAGAACAACAGAGGAACTAAGGGTTCTTAATTCTTAAGCCTGATTTAATTGGTGTCAGAATCCAGAATTTCTTTTCCAATTAATAGACTTAAATTTGATCTCTCTCTCTCTCTCTCTCTCTCTCTCTCTCTCTCTCTCTCTCTCTCTCTCTCTCTCTCTCTCATTCTCATTGTGGAGCTTTTAATTAATTAAATAATACAACTCCTGGGAATTCTTGGAGAAATGGCTGTACATTTTATAGCGAGAATTCCTTTAAAGGTAGTCTCTCTTTGAAGAGCTGTCCTGATCAAACGGCATTAAAAATAAAAGGGAAAAAGGCCATTTAAAGTGGTCCATCCATGTAGAATCTTTTTACTTACTGTACATTCCAGTATAGCAATTATTTCTAAGTTGGTATCTGCAAATCCAAACCAAGGCTGCAAACACAATTCTTTGGCTACTTTCATGACACTTCTTCTTGAAAGCCATTTTCAGCCTTTTTTTTTTTTTTAATTTTAAGAAATGCAGTCCTGTGAAGAGATAGAACAGAAAAGGCATTGTTGTGGATTTGGCTTTCGACAGGCAGAGTTGTAATAGGAAGGCAGTTTATGGTAAATGAAAAG